CATGACCTATTTTTTCGAGGTTGTATATTAATGCAGATTAGCCGAGGTTTAGGCTATCGTCCCACTCTGTTTGTTCAATGTATAAATCTTAGATAAAATAAAAGTGTTTCGCCGCTGAAGGTGTAAAATTGAAAGGAAAAAAAAATAGTTGAATAAGCTCAATAAATATAGGGTTGTGAAAGCAACAAAGGCCATGAATTTTTTTTAAATTCTTTTTTGGAGTTGAGAATTAAAAAATACGTTGATCATAAGATTCAGGAATTTCTGAATTTTCAAGTATTTGAAAAATAACAAAAAATTATTTTCACTCCAAATTATTTACAAACAATAAAAAACAACTCAAATTTGCATTCATGGCCGAACACAACTCTAATTTTCAAATGTCATTTTTTTTTCGTTTGAAAACAAAAATCACCTTTTTAAATTTTAGTTACTATATATGTACATGAATTGTAATGCCTACTTAGAGCTTGTTTGGTATTGTTGCTAAAAATTATTTATTTTTAAAAATAGGTTTTAAGAAGAAAAAAATTGAAAAAAAAAAAAGTAATTTGTGTTTGGCAAATTCATTTGAAAAGTGTTTTTGATAAGCAAATTTTGTTTGACTATTTTATATATATAAAAAGTATTTTTGAGAGTCAAATTACGAAAAGACAAGTATCAATATGTTTTAAATATTAAGATTATTTTATAGAGAGAAACTATTTTTAAATAAATCAAATCAGAAGAAAATTAATATGTGTAACTAAGAAAAGGATTTTTTTTTATTTGTTACCATTTTAGGGAGCTGAAATCTTTAATTGTTATTTTTTTTATTTTAAAAAAAATTGTAAAAATACTGTTGAAAAATATTGAAAAGAAGATTTTTTTTGTTATTTGTTACCTGTTTTTTTTAATCAATCTTTGACTATTATCGTCTTCTTCTTTTATATAATCCTGTAAAATTAAAAAAAAAAGAATTAAAACAAAATAATAAGTAACTTAAGAAAATAAAATTTTGTTATTTGTTGCTTTTTTGGAAGGGTTAGACATCTTTATTGTTACTTTTTTTTTATCCTGCAATTTTTTTATTGTTACCTTTATTTCTAATTCTATAAAATAATACGTAAAATAATAATATATAAACATAAAATAAAAAATAAAAAATTTAAATGAAATTTAATCACTTATGAGATATATTAGTTAATTAATTAACAAAGGACATATTGGTAAATAAGTATATAAAGAAGGAATATTTTAGTCTTAAAAACAATCTGCTTTTGTTTCTGTTTTTTTAAGAAGCAGAATTTCTTAGCTTCTTCTCAACCGCAGAAAAATTGTTTATGCTTCTAATTTAAAAGTAATTTTAGTAATTTTTCAAACGCTTGATTTTTCAAGAAAAAAAAAATTTAGAAAAAAACAATACTTTGACCTCCCAACAGTAATGTCAAACAGATTCTTAGTCAAGGTAATGCATCTTTTTCTTTTGAAGTTTTATAACATAATTAATTTACTATCTATAATATTCTATTTTCATTTTTGAATACACTAAAAAAATATTGTGGGACTTATGCCTTGTTACGTTGAACTTTGAAGATAATAGATCACCTAATAATTATAACTAACTTGTCTAGCCTTCACCTTTTTTCAAAATGTTAAAATGCAAGTGGTAGCATATATATCTATAAAATTATACAAGTAATCTAATCAAACAAGAACAAACTGTTATGTCAGGTAAATTCAACTTATTTCTAAGTGAATTTGGTAAACAAGAATTGGCGACCTGAGTTCGTACTGCCTAGCACTACAAAAAATTCGCCTTTTAGCCACGCGTGAAATCGTGGCTAAATGGTCGCCAAACTGTGGCTATCACGTATTGGCCACGGCCACTTAGCCAAGGTCGGCTGCGTGCCCAACAGGGGCGTCGCCATGAAATTTGCCACGGTTTTAGCGTTCGTGGTAACATTCTTCTAGCCACGGTCTACCCATGGGTAAATTTGCCTACAACAAATCATGACTTACCCATATATTAGCCGTAGCTAGTTTAGGCGTTGGTAATTTGCTCATAACTTTCATACAAAATATGAACTAGCTACGGTTCAACCGTGGCAAAAGTGTGTTTTTTTTAAAAAAAAAAACACAATAAATTCCCTACTATATATCCCAATATCAATACACTAATTGATAGGCA